ACAAACTGTGAGATCATGACCTGAGCTGAAGTTGGACACCCAACCAACTGAGCCACCCAGGCGCCCCTATCCCTCTCTCTTTTAAACCTCAAATGAACTTGGTGTCTGGGGAAAACTGTACTATAGCATAAGCCTCAATGTTCTATCGACTCCTTTGTTCCAACTTTAAACAAATAAGCTTGGGATGATAGCTAACTAACCCAAACAAACATGATTTACTTATTAAATATTATGAGAGAGAACAATAAGAATGCAGCAACCTCTTTCACGTCCTCGTAACCGGAGCTCCAAATAGTAACGCCCTCCCTAGCCAGTTTGTTTTTAACTAGGTTCATTTTAGTTCAGTGATGGCTCCCATCAAGAGAGCTGAGGACACAGGCCTGGCCATCTCCCTGGTTCACGGACACAGTGCTGACTCTCCAAGAACGTCGGCAAACACACCTTTTCTTTTTCTCCTTGGAATCTCCTCCCTGTAGAAGCACATTTACTTACTTGCCTTCCTGGTGGTGAATTTTCATGAAAACATTGGAGATTTCTGCTTTGGAAATGGAGAAGTTCAACTGTGGGCCTCCACTTGATCTACCCCATTAGCTCCTTACTCCACAGAAACCACAATGGCTTACTGAAATCTTCTCAACTCCAAGTCTTTACAATTTTACAGTAAAAGTAACAATGAGACTCTAACTTCAAACTGAGTGCTCCTATTGGTGAAACCTAAATTCAGAACTTAAAAATAAAAAACCACCCTCTTTTCAGGTATAAAAAGCAACCAAAGGTTTCATTACAATAAAACCCAAGGCAAATATTTAGAGAGAAACATACACAACCATCAATTTTCTACTCACTGACACTGTTAGGTTTTTTAAATTAGAAAATAATTACACAAAAATGTATTAAAAGTGTTTTCTCCTACCTGGATCCTCAGACACGTCCTTTGGTAAGGCTTCATCCGCAGTACTTTTCAAACCTAGACGTGTTTTGTTTTTAAGGAACAAGAGAAAGGAGGAGAAAACAAAACTGTAAAATTTTATTTCTTAGGCACATTATATTAAAGCAAAGAATCCCTAGTCATCACTTATGAAAATGGTGTAACAAACCTCTGTAAGTTGCTACAGCACCCAAACAATAGAGACCCCTTGAAGTAGGGAAATAGGTTCTCATCCCACAAAGAACATAGCCGAATTACCAACTTTTCAACCGAGTGCGCCTCTAGTGGCTAGGAGGAGTATTACCAGGAAGTGCCAGAAATCTCCTCCTTTCATTCTTGACATCCAGACCAATGACATCAGAATCTCTCCGGGAGTGAGATGCGGGCTTTAGTGCTTTCAGACCCGTCATTCCAACGCACAATCAAGGCTAAGACCCGCTAGGAAAGAACGTGATCAGAGTACACACTGCTGCAAAAAATGTCTAGTTCTGCCTGCCTCTCCTGAGCAAAGATTTAAATAGAGAGCAAGCGATCATTGCTTCCTAATGGAAAACTTACTTTTCATGTTTAACTCCTGTACAAGGTTGCATCGGTGGCAGGTCTCGACAACAAAACTTGAAATAGCTTCACTGATTTTTAGTCCCTTCTGATAAGCCTCTCATTCATGGGTAGTAAATCAGTATCAGCTAATAAAAGGAATACTAGCCTGAGACTCAAAAAATCTTTATTCTTACCTCCACTCTTTTTATTATTAAGCATATGACTCCTACTGCCTGAATTTCAGTTTACTCATCTCTAAATTTTAGGTGATAAAACATACTAGCCTCTGTTCGGCTTTGTGAGAACTGAGTAAGGCAGTAAATGAGGAAGGACCTGGTAGATTATAAAGCATTATATGGAGTGGTGGGAGTGGGGAGAGGTCCTCCTGTTCTAAATATTCCCAGGCCAACTCATCTCTGTGCTTAACGGTAGCGCTAACATGGAAAACTGAGCCGCGCTGCTTCTCACTCGCCCGGTAAGACAGACAAATTACCGCTGGCTTCCCGACACAGCTTCACATCCACAAAGTAACAGAAGATAAATCCAAAGGACAGAAGCTCTCTCCAGAAAGATAACTTCCTCAAGGATTAGACCTGTATACAAATGTGCATTTGTACTGATGTTCTGGGATCACCTCTGCCAACCCAAGATGTTACGCTCTCAATTCTTTCAGCTTCCAGTCATTTCCTAATCAGTATGACCAAATTCCAAGTAAAGGGTCAGGACAGGCGAGTAAGGGGCCAGTGAGTTGAGGGGCTTTGGAAGTTCCTGTTACCACATGCTCCCGAAGTCAGCCATTCCAAGAGAAGTGGATGAAGAAACACAGGTAGAATGTCCCTGAAGGAAGAAAACTCATTCTTTTCATACCTTGTTTGTCATCACTAGTCACATCTTGAGTTGGGACAGGAAAGTCAGCCATGTCTTTAACAGATAGCTTCTTGGAAAAGAAAAGAAAATACGTTATACAAGTTGAAATGGAAATTACATTATGTGTACATATGATGAAATTGCTTTAAAAGCTACATATCTTGCCAATATTTTGGCTTCAGTAAACCCTGACATTTAATACTTTTTTATTTTGGGGGGTTCCTAGGGAGGTATAAGTTAATTTGTATTGAAGGTTTACATGTGGGGCGCCTGGCTGGCTCAGTCAGTAGAGCCCATGACTCTTGATCTCAGGGTTTTGAGTTTGAGCCCCACCCTGGGTGAAGAGATTTTTTTTTTAATTTTTTAAAGAAATTTACATGTGCAGAGGAAAAAAATTATTCAGATTTAGGCAGATGTATAGACTGCACATTAAATCTGAACCCGGTTTGGGATTCAGCCAGAGAACTGTGTAGCATTTGCCCATTCTGTCCAAAAACAAACCTGCACTTTCTGTACTGTTTCACAAGCAGAGTTCTGACAAGTAGCCCTATAATGTGGGTATCTGCCAAAATCTGTTATGCAGAGAGTGTTCAATAGCCTGATTCAAACAGCCTCCTTGTCAAGGAATAAGGTAATTTTATTGATGACCAGAACAAAATTTTCTCCTAACTCACTTAGGGGAAGTCTTCAGTAATACTAATGAGATAGAATACCCAAATTGATCAAGTACTGATTCCTTTAAATTTTTGTTTAAAATCTACTTGCTATGAATTTATTTCTTACAAAGTCTAAATATGCACTCTGTGACCTTAGATAAGATTACAGAATAATATTAGTATTTACTATATATAAACAAATTCTGGAAAGATACATAAAAATCGAAGGGTGACTCAGTAGATGGGGAACAGAATGGGAGGAAGACTTGTCACTATCTGCCTTTTGATATTCTTTTTATTTTAAACATATTCAGAAAAATCAAATAAAACTTATAGGAAGCAGAGTAAATCTTGGAGCAATCTGGTGCTCCAGAAGGTTCACTGGTTTGCCTTTCAGAATCTGAACAACCCCAGTGAGATAAGCAATACTTGTGTTTTTCAACTGCTTTAAAGAATGCAGTTCAGTGCTGCTTGGCGGTAACCTGATCCAGGATTTAACAATCCTCCGGCAGGTCATTCTTGGCATTACCATGAAGCCTCCAGATAGAATTTCCTATTCAAAGTCTACTGTCTCCAACAGAACAGAGAATGTATCTTAACAGTGCCTTTCTTTCTTCTCCCACCTGGATTATAAACTAGATACCTAGGTAGAAGAAAATGATTTAGGAGTAGAACATATAAAAAGTTCTCCAAAACAACCACCTTTGAAAGAAATTTTTAAAGCCTAAAGAAGTGGAAAGACATCCCATGCTCACAGGTCAGAAGACTCGATATTGTTAAGATGGCAATACTCCCCAAATTCATCTACAGATTCAGTGCAATCCTTCTTCGCTTTTTTGCAGAATTTGAACAGCTTGTCCTAAATTTCATACAGAAATGCAAGGGACCCAAAAGAGCAAAAATATTCTTTAAAAGGAAGAACAACAAAAGAAGAAAACTGAAAGACTGAGACTTCTCAATTTCCAAACTTAACACAAAGTTACAGTCATCAAGACAGTGTGGTACTAGCATTACGACATCCATGTAGATCAATGGAACAGAACTGAGAATCCATAAATAAACCCTCACATTTGTCAACTGATTTTCAACAAAGGTACAAAACAATTGGGGGCGGGGGAGTTGTCTTTTTAATAAGTGATGCGAAAAGAATATACAAAAGAATGAAGGTGGACCTCTTCCTCACGGCATATGCAATAACGAACTCGGACTGGATCACGAACCTGAATGTGAGACCTATAACTATACAACTCCTGGAAGGCCACATATAGGACTAAGTCTTTGTGAGCTTCTGCTAGGCAGTGGTTTCTTAGCTAGGACACCAAAAGCACAAGCAACAAAAGAAAAAAACAAACAAACTGGACCTCATTAAAATAAAAAACACTTGTGTTGCAGAGGACACTCTCAAGAAAGGAAAAAAAACAAAGAAATACTACCTCACACCTGTCAGAATAGCTAACATTAACAACTCAGGAAAACAACCGATGTTGGCGAGGACGCAGAAAAAGGCAAACCCTTTTGCACTGCTGGTGGGAAGACACACGGGTAGGTGTAACCACTCTGGAAAACAGGATGAAGGTTCCTCAAAAAATTATAAATAGAACTACCCTACCACCCATCAATTGCACTACTAAGCATTTATCCAAAGGATACAAAAATGCTGATTCGAAGGGGCACATGCACCCCAATGTTTAAAGCAGCGCTTTCAACAGCCAAAGTATGGAAAGAGCCCAAATGTCCATTGACAGATGAATGGATAAAGAAGATGTGGTTTATATATACAATGGAATACTACTCAGCAATGAAAAAGAATGAAATCTTGCCATTTGCAACAATGTGGATGGAACTAGAGGGTATTATGCTAAGTGAAATAAGTCAGGCAGAGAAAAACAAGTATCATAGGACTTCACTCATCTGTGGAATTTGAGAAACAAAATAGATGACCATAGGGGAAGGGAAGGAAAAATAAGATAAAAACAGAGAGGGAGGCAAACCATAAAAGACTCTAAAATACAGAGAACAAACTAAAGGTTGCTGGAGGGGTGGGGGTGTGTTAAATGAATGAAGGCACTGTTGGGATGAGAGCACTGGGTGTCGTAGGTAAGAGATGAATCACTGGGTTCTACTCCTGAAACCAATACTACACTATATGTTAACTAACTTGAATTTTAAAAAAAAAGAAAGAAAGAACAACCAAAGACAGAAAATACTTGCCAATTATGTATCTAATAAGGGACCCACATTCAGAATGTACAAACACAACTCAATAATAACCAAATTTATAAACGGACAAAGGATCTGAATAGACATTTCACCAAGGAAGATATACAAATAACTAATAAGCACAAGAAAAGATGCTCAGCATCAGTAGTCATCAGGAAATTTAAATCAAAAGCACGAAAAATCAATACCACTTCACTCCCACTAAGGTGGCAAAAATAAAAAAGGCAATAAAAAGCGTTAGCAGGGACATAGAGCAATAGGACGCCTCACACATTACTGGTAGATGAATGTAAAATGCCGTAGGTGCTTGGGAAAGCATTTTGGCAGTATCTCAAAAAGTTGAACACAAGTTACAATAGGACACACAGTTCCACTCCTAGGTAAGCACCCAAGGGAACTCCAAACATCACGTTCACACAAAAATCGGTCCATGAATGTTCACAGTAGCATTTTTTCCTCACAGCCCCAAGGTGGAAACAAGCCAAACGTCCATGAGCTGAAGAATGGACAAACGTGGCAGATCCACACGATGGACTACTACTCAGCAATGAAAAGAAATGAAGCGCTGATACACGCTACGACATGAACTTTAAAGCATACTACAGGAGGGGCGCCTGGGTGGCTCGGTCGGTTAAGCGTCTGACTTCGGTTCAGGTCATGATCTCACTGTCTGTGAGTTCGAGCCCCGCGTCGGGCTCTGTGCTGATAGCTCAGAGCCTGGAGCCTGTTTCGGATTCTGTGTCTCCCTCTCTCTCTGCTCCTCCCCTGTTCATGCTCTGTCTCTCTCTGTCTCAAAAATAAATAAAAAAAAACTTAAAAAAAAAAATAAAAAAATAAAACATACTACAGGAAAGAAGGCAGTCCCAGAAAAACCAGATATTGTATGACTCTATATGAAATGTCCACAACAGGCAAACTCAGAGACAGAAAAGAGATTACTCATTACCAAAGGCTGGGGGGAGGAGGGAATAGTGAGTGACTGCTAATGAGTATGGGCTTTCTTTTCTGAGGTGATGAAAAATGTTCTAAAATTAGACTGTACTGATGGCTGCACAACTCTGTTAATACAGTAAAAACCATCGGATTGTACAGTTTAGATAAGTATATTATGTGAATTGTATTTTAGTAAAGCTGCTTAGAAGAGAAAAATCCAGTAATCTAAGAAGCACTGCTATGGGGTGCCTGGGTGGCTCAGTCGATTAAGCGTCCAACTTTCACTCAGGTCATCATCTTGCAGTCCATGGGTTTGAAGCCCACGTCGGGCTCCGTGCTGACAGTCTGGAGGCTGCTTGAGATTCTGCCTCTCCCTCTCTCTCTCTCTGCCCCTCCCCCTCACACTTTTTCTCTCTCTCAAAAATAAAAAAAAATTAATAATAATAATAAAATAAAACTTTAAGAAGCATGCTAAGGAGGACTTTATCTGAAATTTATCTTTAATTCCTGAAGGAAACGAGTACATGGTTACAGCTCTGCTGTCTGGAGATCTGATCTGTACTACTGAGCAAACTTCTCACGACCCGAATCAGTTACAGCTTTCTCCATGGCACCAACACCTGTATGGACCCATTCCTCACAGGGCTAGTCCCAAGAGCTATTTAAATCCCACGCATGCATTCATGAGAGATTAAAAAAAACTGGTAGAAAGAACAATGAATGAAATAGAAGAAACTGGAATATTTAATCATTAGCTACTTATATTTGACGTATACTTCTTGAATGGCCAAAGCATCCATTAACCTCATTACTTTGGCCATGAATTCTGTATATTACATCATTATCTAAAAGCACTCCACTCTGGAATATAACGATTTTGTTGGGAAAGAGTTTTTGTTGTTGTTTTGCTCTCGTTTGGACAGGGCAAAGCAAAGACTTTTTAATCACCCCCACCCCCACCAAAAGAGCCAGTTAAAGTATAGAAAAGTATGTAACATAAAACTAGCTGCACATCACGTCCATAAAGTTGAACATCAAAAATGTCATCAAGGACATCAGAGGTGTGTTTGAAAGCATCTGCATTTATAGACTTCACAGCTAACTGTATATTTGCTCCTTTCCTTTTAGAAAGATGATAAATGACTACGTGGGGGAAAGCAACACGAGCCAGTAATTAATTTCTCTAAAACACAGCATTATTTCTGTTGGAAGGGCAGAGACCACCTGAGTGCATTCTAGAAATAATAAGAGCTTATGACATTTTTTAATAAAACACCTAACGACCTCATAAGTTTACACAAGCAGGGGGACCCAAAGCCAACAAACAAAAGCAAGGCAACTACACAAGCCTCCGGACACTGCCAGCAGCCCCCGAGTTCACAGAGGCCGTGAAAAGTGGCTAACTAGTCTACTTGCTTCTCCGTCATATGCATTCTGCAAAATAAGAAATGTAAAAAGCTAAAACTCTTCAAATGCACATCTATCACTCCTGATACCACTTTATACCTTTTTCCCTCGAGTAGAGATCTGTTGAGGAAAGTAACAGAGGCCATGACTTGAATAAAGAGTAGCAGAGAGGCCAAGAGAGGTGTTATCAGAGGAAGCACTGCAGAAGCAGGCCAGTTCCCTCACAGAGGAGCAGAGGATGCCAATGCAGCACAGACTATATGCCTGAGAGCCCCACGGAAAGGAAGAAATAGTCACACACAGTTGCAAGAAATTAAACAAATGGTCCTGCATCCTGCCTCTGACTTCCATCATCTTGCAACAGTTTTAACCGGGGTCTGAGGACGATAGCAGCCTATGAATAAACCTCCATTTATTACACATTTCCAGAGTTGTTTTTTTTTTAGGATGGGAACAGATGTCATAAGCTGTCATCACAGCAATCATAATGGCGATGATGATGATGAAGACTGTGCTGATATTAACAATAACTACGATGACTCCTACTTATTGATGCATACCTAAGGACCACTATGCATGTGGCTAGGCCCCAACAACATCAAGGCCCAACATTGTAGGAATTCTACAGGTTTCTCTTGAGATAATCCAAACCAGTCTTCATTTGGTCTAAACGCTAAAAACTCTGAGGGAGAAGGTAGCTTTAAATGTGACTTGGGGTCCTTTTACACAGTTCTCAAACTTCCTCTCAAAACTGTTCTGGTCCGTTAGATCTTGTTCATACTCAACTATTAAAAATACAACTTCTGGGCTGGTCAAGTGGTTTTAGTGTCAAGCTAAGCTGCCCCACTTGCCAGGTCACGATTCTCAAGGGTCCTGGGAGTTCGAGGCCCCGCTGGCTGGGTTTCTGGGCTGGATGGCCTGTTTTCCGGAGCCTGTTTCCTCACTTCTCCTAGGCCTCTCCCTCTCTCTCTCTGCCCCTCCCTGCTCATGCCTCTCTGTCCCAAAATAAGTAAACGCGAAAAAAAAAATTAAAAAAAAAAAATACAACTTCACAATGTTTACTTCAAAATTAAAGCTTGGGGGTGGGGGGCCAAGTGAGACTCAGCCGTTGTCATCCTGGACTTCAGCTCAGGTCACATTCTCATGGGTCTGTGGGTTCGAGTCTTCACATGTCGGGCTTCCTCTGTGCTGACAGCCTGAGCCTGACCCCGCTTTGGATTCTGTGCCTCCCTCTCTCTCTGCTCCTCCCCCACTCACTCACGCTCTCTTTCTCAAAAATAAACAAACATCAAAATTAAAGCTTGGTTAAAATAAACAACTTGGCTCGCATTCTTCTGGCTTAGTTTTTCTATACCTAAATTTCATCCCTAGAAGGTCAAGAGATTACTTTGCTTATTTCACTAAATCTAGTTCTAGGGAGAAAAGAAAACAAATAATTATAAGCTATATCTGGTGTCTAGATTTGAAAGGTTGAGCCTCAACGTAAGTACACAGCATGATGAGAAAATGTTATGAAAGTGGATTTTCAGGAGTTTATAAAGAATATACGCTTATGGATTTAATTCCACACACACCCTTATTTATTAACATATGAGGACCTTTTACCTCCATCCGATTCAAGTCACGGGGTTGTTGGTTTGCAGGCATTGACTCAGAATAAGAATCAAATAATGCACACTCCCGCTTGGGCTTAGGAAAAGCTAAGAAAAAACAAAAAGAATACGTAAGAACATATACTATATTCATAGCAGGCATTGTTTCTTATCAGATTTTCCGTGCCTGTTAAATATTACAATAAATCAGCCAGCACTGACATACTAGTTATGGCACTAATCACGAGGAGGTAGTATTTTAAGTTCCTTACATATACAACATACTATTTCTGCCTCCCCATTTTACATGTGATGCATCTGAGGAGCAGGGAAGCTGAGCAACTTACTCAAGGTCATATAGCTGGTAAATGGAAGAGCAGGAATTTGAACTGCCGGCAGTCCTGCTGGAAGGTACATGCTTTTAGCATTTACGTTGTAACATAGTAGTGACCCTCGCTATCACAATACTGAAGTTTTAACTATGCTACCAGCACAATTTTTAAATGGCACCAACTATGGGGAGAGTCTTAATGCTATAAACATTAACCATGGAAATACTTCATTTTAGCTATTGTTGTTGGAAATAGACAAGATCTTGCAATGACAGGTGCCCCAGAAGACTTTCTAAAATATCCATTTCTTTTGTTTAGCAGAATAACAAAAATAAGAGCACAAGTTCTTGCTGAGTTACAAGGGAAGAAGAATCACATTATGGGCTTCTTCGAACACAGAACAGTGACAGAGGCTGTTAGGTTAGCTGGAGAGCTGAGTGGATCGTGCTACTTGGTAAACTGATACTTAACACACCAATTCTGGGAAGCAGATTCTGTTTCACCACTTTGTCACCAAGTAATTAGGAAGGAAATGTCTCAACCAGAAAATTGGTCAATATCCCAAGGAGGAAAAGAAGATCATGGCAGACAATGGCCAGAAGCTACAAATTTGTCAAGACCAGCTGTTAAGAAATCAAAATTTTAATGCTGTGTTTAAAAAATTTTTTGAATCAAGCATCAAAATGGATTGACATTGTTTTTAATCCTTTCTCACCCTCCCACCTCCACCAGCGTCTGAAATGCCAACTTCCCTCTGTAGTAAAGTACTGGCCATGACTAACAGCTACTCAACTTGTACAGTTGAGTACAAGCACCTTAAATTGTTCATTTTCTTACTCTGGTTTGAATTTCACTGATATCAGGTAGGGCAAACCGTGGGCCCTGGCGATTTGTCTGACTAAACTAGGGGGTCTCATTTCCTTGGTAAAAACTCAGCAAAACAACTTTCCAAGTACCATTCTGCTATCTGACCACAAGAGCAGGTTTAACCAAGATGAGATTTCTGTTTCTAGCTTACCAATCAGTGATGTGTGTAGAATTACACAACTAAAGCTTTATCATGAGCGGGTCTTGCTACGTAAAAAGGTAACGCTTTCAAAAACTACAAATGCCATCATTAACTACTAAATCTCTTTCTAGCCTGTCCCTATCTCTCCAACTCCACTTGTCACCTCCCTAGTGACAGGCCCTGGGGTCCTGACTGGACTGCTCCAGTAACCTGGTCTTTCAGTTTGCACCCTTGCTCCTCAAAACCTGCTCTCCAGTCAGCAACCAGCACGATCATTTCCAACAGCAAATCTGATTGGGGCACTTCCCTGCTTAAAACCCATCAACGTCATTGCCAGTGATTTGTTCCCTACCTGCCCCTTCAGCCTCATCCTCAGCCCCTCCAGGCCCGGCTCCTTGCACTCCAGCCACTGTGGCCTCAAGTCTCCATGCCTCCGACGCCCCAAGCTGCCTCTCAGGGCCTCTGCAGATCTGCTGTCCCCTCTGCCCACAGCCTACTCTTCCCCCTCCTTCACCTACACAGCCCTTAGCTCACCCTTCACATGTCAGCTCAAATATTTAAGGAAGCCTTCCCTGAGGTGACGCACCCTCTTGCTGCAGCTGAACTTCCCCTTCATAGCACCTACCACTGCCTCCAATTTACAAGTATGTGAGTTTGTTTAACATCGATCCTCTAACTGCCAGCAAGTTCCATGACAGTAGGAACACTCTTTTGAACGCAGCATTCTGACCACAAAGAATAACACAATGCCTCTCACATAATTATTTTTAACAAACTCTATAGTAAAAATCTATACCAGAATCCACCCAGTCACCCAGACAGGAAAATATCAAAAGGCCCACGGGTAAGCTATCAAATAACCAACTTTTCCTTCCAATGGTGCCCTTTCATTTTCACTGTTAGGGAAAAACTCAGACACAACAGTTTGTTTCATTATTTTACTGAAAACAAGCTTGTGTAATTGTAAATGCATGATGGTATCAACCAAATTTATACTCTTCACCAACCTTGTTGAAAACTGGATTACATTTTTGTAAAAGACTGAATGTAGGCTAATCAGAAAAAAAGTTGGAACAGGAACTAAGCTTTTAAAAAAGCCAGGTGGGATGGGGCCCCTGGGTGGCTCAGTCGGTTGGGCGGCCAGCTACAGCTCAGGTCATGATCTTGCGGTGAGTTCGAGCCCCACGCCGAGCTCTGTGTTGACAGCTCAGAGCCTGGACTTTACTTCAGATTCTGTGTCTCCCTCTCTCTCTGCCCCTTCCCTGCTTGCTGTCTCTTTCTCTCTCTCTCTCTCTCAAAAATAATAAACATTAAAAAGAAACAGGTGGGATACCATAAAAATGAACCCCCAAAATGAACAGAATCCCTCATATTTTGCAAAGTCTAAAAGCACAGAGAACACCTAGACAGTTCTGGCCATTTTCTTGAGCTGTATATAAAGATAAGCATGAGTGATAAAGCATTAAAAAGTTAACTGCTAAAACCCTCAGGGTTTGCCTAAAATATACCATCACTGAGCCTGATGAGGCTTTAAGAGATCTCTCAGGTTTTTTGTTAGAACTATATAATTATTATTTATGATTAATCCCACAAGCCCTGGAAATGATGTGAAGTCTTTGTTTAATTAAAGGGTATGTCATGGGTTCCTCAGTTGTTGCTGTATAAATACGTGTTGACAGCCTCCACCAAAGACCAGGAACAAACAAGGGGCTTCATTCCAAAGGAAAGGAAGGTGCCTCTTGACTGGCACTCTATTTTACAGACTCCACCCCCCCCCCCCCACTCCATAAGCAAGACAAAAGCAGTCATTTGCAGCAATAAAGGAATCAAAATGCTACTTGACTTCCATTAACACACTTTTTGCTCAGGGCTTTCAGATTTTTTTAATTTTTATTAGTGATTCCCACCAACAGGGCAGGAGGGTTCCCGTTTTTTTCACATCCTCACCAGCACCTGTTGTTTGCTGAGTTGTTAATTTTAGCCACTCGGGGGAGAGGGGAAAATGGGAGATGGGCATGGAGGAGGGCACTTGCTGGGATGAGCACTGGCTGTGGTATGTAAGCGATGAGTCACGGGAATCTACCCCTGAAACCAAGAGCACACTGTATACACTGTATGTTACCCAACTTGACAATTAATTAATTAATTAATTAAAGGTGGGCCAAACAATAAAATAAAATAAAATAAAATAAAATAAAATAAAATAAAATAAAATAAAATAAAATAAAATAATTTTTGTACCTGGGGGGTGGGGGGGGCGAGGTAAAAAAAATTTTTTCATTAGTGACTTTTGAAACAGTCTGTGAAATACTTGGATATCTACAAAGTGACTTGTCAAACAAGGAGTCCCGACACCTGGCATAGGTTCCATGGCCAGAGGGCATCACAACAATACAACAGCATTAATCAAGACCCAAAAACAGAAAGCTAAGTGTGGGCATGGGAGATAAAGCTACCCAGGACTCTCCCCAGGGCTGACAATAGGCAACAGTGATGTATTAAATATAACTAAATAGCCCTGGAGCAGACCTTGACCCTCTGGTTAGCTGTTCACATTAGAGGGAGACAAAGTCCCATGTGGCCCTGCTCCCAGGAGAAGGGGCTCCTGGATGACCCTGTACTGACTTGGTTATGAAACCTGTGCAGTTGCCAAGACTGTTAGTGCTTCTTTGCCTCAATCCAAAAGAAACAAAGAGAAAAAGGAAAAGAGAGAGAGAGAGACACCGAAGAGGAAATGGAGCAGTGTGTCACGGTGCCCAACTGCAAACTAGTTCCTGGGGACCCATGAGGGTCTCCCCCAGCCTGGAAGGAAGGGTATACGGCCTGCTGCGGTCAGAAAGCAGCTGCTATTAGCAAAGTCTAAGCTCTTAAATGAGTAGTAGTCTCTACTCTTTGAACGCTCCCGTGCATACATTTTATGAGGCATTTGGGAAAGATCCCAGAATAATGGGTCACTCTTCCCCCACATGTTTACCTGCCATTGGCACCAGCCACATACTTGCTCTCTTCCCTTTGGTTGGGCCTTGGCCCCCTCACTACCAAATACAGAAAATGACAAACTTTTTATTTAAAAGTCAGAGAACCCAAGACTGACTTAGATTAGTCATTGGCCACTTTGAATATAGTGTTGTTATGAGGGGACAAGACATGATAATCTAGGGCCTTTACTAGATCTAACCACAAAATTTACACTCTATTAATGACTAATCACAGTTTCTTTAGACATTGCTCCTTCCTGCCAATAATCATCCATGACTAGCTCTCATGTTTTTAAGAGACCTTCCCTAAAGAAAGGTTACTGACAGTACCAGTTGTTTCTGGACCCTTTCAATGGAAGCTATACTTCTCTGAGTAACAGAAATTGTATCATTGCCCACTGCCTTTGAAAAGGGCAAGAGACAATTTTCCAGTCTTCCAAAAGAATGGATAAAAATGTTAGACTCACCATGACTCTTTCTTATCAAAAGGGTTTGGGGGTAATAGCTTTATTAAGGAGAAAGACAAAGAGCTCTATTCCAACCTTGTGGTGTGCTGGGATTTTCTATCTTTATCTGATTGCAGCTACATGGGTATATGCAGATGTAAAACTTCATCAAGAGTACATTGAGATTACGGCACTCGGCACATTTCATGGCATGTAATTTTTAACTTCTTCATTAGGTATCAGAGTTCTATTCCATTGCCCCAAGCCACTTGGGGACACTGGGGTGTACCTAAAGATGCCAAATCAGAACTTGGCTCTACAGGAAGATGTTCCTGTTCATTTTGTATCAGCTGAGAGGTTTAGTACTTGCCTACTCGGTAATTTTCACAAAAAGGTAAGGGACTGATTCAAATCCATCCAGAGAGCACCAGAATAGGAGTAACAGATAACTCACACTTTACCCACATCATCCCTATTACTCATATTATAAGTTGTGAGAGTCTAATATCAGTTAAAGGACAGTTACTTTAGATACAAAGGACTCTGCAAAGTACCTGGATACCACCTTAAGGCACAAAACGTTCTTATAACGTCTGGATGGAAAATGCCCAAGGTTTAGGATTTATGATGAGGCCTTACCTGCTTGCAGGTACTCTGTCTGCAGAGTCGGAGGCAGGCCCTCTGGCAGCGGGTAGCCGTTTTTCCGGGCCACAATGAGATGAAACGCAGCACAGAACTCAGGCAGGGTCAGGGCTCCATCACAGTCAGCATCACTCAGTTCCCTAGATACAACATGTCACAAGTACCTAACACGGGGCTTAGAGGAAAAGTTACTCAGCCTCGTACAAGCAAACACAACTCCCAAGGTCGCTGGGGGTGGCCCTGCAAAGTCCCCAAACTCCTATGAAATCTCAGGGGGCACTTGGGAGGACAAATGCTGATCAAGAGCGCTGGCACCAGTGGCCCTTTGTAAACAAGACTTTACAATCCTTGGGTTCTGCGGGAGGTCTGTTTTACAACACCGAGCACATGAGACAAGACACTAGAGCACGAAAAGGAAAATAAGGCCAGTTGGTTGAGAGTCGTTCGATAACCGGGCGGCATGAAGAGCTCCAGACCCGGTGCCCACAGTAGTCGAAGGAAGGGCTGACCTCGGCCTGTGTCGTTGTCCCAGACGTTATACACGTACCCGGGCCCACAAATAAGCACTTGGGTTTCCAGCTTGAAGGAAAAACCTTAAAGTTTTTAAGTCACATAAATGTTGTACCAAAAAATTTGCTTGAGAATTCCCTCCTGGGAAAATACAAGTAAGTTCAATAAACACTGGTTACATTAGGTTTTCAGATAAAACTAGCAACTTGGGAAGGCTGGAAGCAGATAAGACAGCAAGGCAGAAAGGAAGAGTCTTGAAAAGGCTTATCTTTGCTTCAGTCATTGTTTCCCACTGAAAGGCAGAGACCTATTTACTCAGCCCAAAACAAACCCATTTGCCAAAGTAAGACACCATAAGCTCAACTAGTCTCGTAGATGTACAGAGATGCCATATTTGTGCTGGGACAAGTAAAGAGATAGGATATAAACCTGCGCTGGCAAGGTGTCACTATTCCAAAGAAGTACAGAAGGTAAGCTCCCTAACTTTCCTTTGGACCATTCACAGCCTCCTCCCCTCAAATATTTAGAATGAGCCAGCCCTGAAGGAGCAGCCCCCCACCCCCCCACCCCCGCCCCGGGTGAGAAGTCAGGGAACTGTTTCAAACGCTGGGTGGAGAGAATACTGTTCAGCTTTTGCAGATATGTCTCAACAAAAAGATAGGAGGCCTCATGCCAATAATGTTAAAACTGGGAATTCTGCCAAAAACAGAGTGTATTCTTTTCAAAATGATAATTTCTTTTTTTCCCCTAGCTTTAAAATCTAATATAAGGCTTGTCGTAAAAAAGAAAAACTATGCTAGAATATACCGCTGAAGAACCTAAATCCAGCTCAGGATCCCAGATACATTGGCATGCACAAATGTTATTGCAATAGTTTTCCAATAAAACGCACAAAACATGACAGGCAATTTTAAGTCCTACCACGATTTCTATAAATCCTCATGAAAAAAGTCTTACATAAATATTCCAGTGTTTTAATTATATATCTACAGCAGCACGGTCTCCCACCCAGGCTTGAGGAAGAAGAGCCCACACACAGCTGGGAGTTTAGACAGGCAGCAAGCGTTTTCGTCCACACAAACTGGCCATCTGGACCGTCCCCACACGGCCCTTCTGGAGCCCGGCCGCGGCCTGCGTGGCAGCAAGGTACAGGGCACACCACAGCCGCATATCTGAATGGGGGCCCAGCTGATACACACCAGCCAAATTTGTGAAGCTCGGAGGCAGCTAGAAGAGCCAAATTTGACTTAATTCCAAAACATTTGTGGGCCTTCTGTTCACCTGGCCTCATAAGATATCATTAAGAATAGCTTTTCGAGATCCTCTGGTTACTTGCATCATATTGAACAGAAACATCCAGAAATACAATTCACGAGACGGAAATGCTCATGGGCCCACACAATTGTTTAGACAGGAAAGGCATCTAGAGGAGGATAATAATTGGGAAATTCATTTTTAAATAACAGCTAATAGTTACAATGCAGACTATGTGCCAGACACTGATCATTATGCTTCTCACACAAGTTAATCTTCACAGCAACAAAAATCTTAAGTTCCATTCACTCTCTAAGTCTGTTGAAAAAAAACATGCAAGGATAAAGAAGACGTGGTATATAAATGATGGAATATTACTCGGCAATCGAAAAGAATGAAATCTTGCCATTTGCAACAACGTGGATGGAATTAGAGTGTGTTATGCTAAGCGAAACTAGTCAGAGAAAGACAAATATCCTATGACTTCACTCATATGTGGAATTTAAGTTACAAAACAGATGCACATAAGGAAAAGGAAGCAAAAATAATATAAAAGCAGGGAGGGGGACAAAACAGAAGAGACTCTAAAATACAGAGAACTGAGGGTTGCTGGAAGGGTTCTGGATGGGGGGATGGGCTAAATGGGCAAGAGGCATTAGGGAGGGTACCTGTTGGGATGAGCAGTGGGTGTTATGCATAGGGGATGAATCACTGGGTTCTACTCCTGAAATTATTACTGCACTATGTGCTAACTAACTTGGATGTAAATTAAAATAAATAAATAAGTAAGTAAATAAATAGGAATGGGAAGATGCTCTTTAAAATAAATTCATTTAGGGGCGCCTGGGTGGCTCAGTCGGTTGAGCGTCCGACTTCGGCTCAGGTCACGATCTCGCGGTCCATGAGTTCGAGCCCTGCGTCGAGCTCTGGGCTGACAGCTCGGAGCCTGGAGCCTGGAGCCTGCTTCGGATTCTGTGTCTCCCTCTCTCTCTGCCCCTCCCCCGTTCATGCTCTGTCTCTCTCTGTCTCAAAAATAAATAAACGTTAAAAAAAAAATTTTTTTAATAAAATAAATTCATTTAAAAAATAAATACATAAAAATAAAAAATAAAAAACATTCAAAAGATAAGACTTTCCAAATGCAAAAGTAGAAACTAAGGGATGGGTATGTAATGACAGTATGATACTATATGGCATTAATTGTACTTACCATATGTAGGAGAGTTCTGGAATGGAAAGCTTTGATTTGGTGAAGAAGTTCTTGGCCACAGAACCTGCCAAGAAAGCCACTGTTTAAATAAATCATTAATTACTCATCTAGAGCAGCTTTTATAGTTACATGTAAATGAATCATCATTGTTTCATTCAGCAATTCCTACCATATAACAACAAACATAACACTTATTCATCAAAGCAACTATGAATCATATGACTAAAAACAACATATTAACAGCTTTTAAAAGAACATATAAATTAGGGGCGCCCTGGTCGCTCAGTTTGTTAAGTGTCCGGCTCTCGATTTCAGCTCAGGTCAGAATCTCACAGTTCATGAGATGGAGCCCTGTGTCGGTCTCTGCACTGACAGCACAAAGCCTGCTTGGGATACTTCCTCTCTCTCTTTCTCTCCTCTCCTCTCCTCTCTCTCCCCCCTCCACCCTCCCTCTCAAAATAAATAAACTTAAAAAAAATAAAACAGAGCAAAAAGAAGAAAATTAACACCACTAATCTCATCACACAAAGATAAAACAGACATTTTGGTAAAGACTTTGGTGAGATTTAAGATCTCTTGGTGGCTCTTTGAGAAACTTCAAGGAACCTCTTGCTACTTTCTTTATTCATCACAAATTTACCAGTATCAGTTGAAATCGGGTAATTCCATTTTACATGTTACACTGCTCCAGGTCCCAACTGCACTTAATGTTAGACGCATCCTTATTGAGACAGAAATTTTTATGGCTAGACCCACCCTTATTGAGACAGAAATTTTTATGGTTTCAGCTCTCAGACCAGTTTCAAAATTCAAAGGCCTCAATTCTAACACAAAGAACAGTTAAATCAAAGCCTCAAGCTCTAAGCCGATAAAGTCAAAAGTCCTTGGCAATCTCAAGGCTTCTAATTGGCCTTAAAACAATGGATTATAATGTATCCTAAAGCAGACTTATTTTCCTTTGATAGATTATTATGGATCAAAGGCAAAGTGCCCTACTAACCAATGAGCTTTCTCCCCAAAAGCATCCTGGAAATAATGCTGACATAGGATTGTTGGCCATCGACGTAGCCACCTTGTGTCAAACATTTGCAAGAAATGTCTTGAAAGCCTATTTACCAGCTATTTTATAGATATAAAGACATTCTCCCCTCAACTCAGTCTTCTTTTTCCCCCTTAATATCCTTTCTTCAAATCACACTAGGTCCAAACCCAAACAAGAGACTTGGCCTGGTCTTCAGACAGTACAGAGGGTGTTCTGCCATGGTGTGCCGAAGAGATTAGGTAGGGCCCACCGGGAAGCTGACAGCTAACAAGTTCAGTTGTACCCTGGCTGCCGCCTGCCAGAGGAGGAAACTGATGAGAGCCCACGTGCTCCCTTCTTTTGGTGCTAAGAGAAGTTCCATCAGTGAACCAGAACCCTCACCCCAGCCCCACTCCCACCAACTTAGAAACCCCAAGCCAGCTTCCTTTCCTTGCCCTTTCCAGCCATTTTCAGACCTGCTGTGAAGCCTGATATGGCGCAAAAGAGAGAGAGGTGAGTCTTTAAAAAGCTGTCAGCAACCAAACATCAAAATGTGGATTCAGACTTTTTACTGCAAGGAGTCTCTAAGCCCAGTTAAAACACACACACACACACACACAGCTATATATAGCATTGATATATCAGTGATAAAATGTTAACATACTGAATAGATATAGACCTTTAAAAAATAAAGACCAATAACACAATGTAAAAACAGGTAGAGCTATGACAGTTCACAAAAATAGAATCTAATTGGACATTTTTTTTTTAAAAGTAAACTCTACCCCAAGATGGGGCTTGAACTCACGGCCCCAAGATCAAGTCACACACTCTACCAACTAAGCCAGCCAAGCATCCCAATTGACTCTTAACCATATTTTTAAAAATTCAATATTCTTCATAAGAGTTCTATAAATTTGAACCAAACACAGGATTTCTTGTCTATCAAATGGAGGGAAAATACAAAAGTAGGTAAACATGTTGTGATAACAAGACTGTGGGAAAACGAGCATCTTTTACGATGCTGGTGCAATGACAACATGGCACAAGCCTAACGAAGGAGTGTTTTCCAATGTCTCGTAAAATCACACTACCCAAAGATACACTGACAAAAATAACAAAAATGAAGAAAGACATGTGCAGAGGGCTATTCACAATGGAAATATGTATCATAGCAAAAGACTACAAATAATCCCAAAAGAGGACCAGTTAAATAAATGATTGCATATCACACAATCTAATAGTACACGACTATAAAAGGGGATGGGAAATATCTCTACATGCAACTATGGAATAATCAGCAGGACATAGGGTTAAGTGGAACAAGCAAGGTGGAGAGAAGTACAAATACTATGCTATCATTTATCTAACAAAAGATGAGAGATAAGAATATACACATACACATACAAATATGAATTTGCTTTTACTCTTAAAAACAGATAAACCATTAAAAAGGGAGCAAGAAAGGAAGAGAGGGGATAGGAACAGAAGCTAGACTTTGTTCATCATTTTTGTAGATTCAAATTCAGAACTGTGTAAAAATTTTATGTAAGTATAAAACTAAATTTCAAAAAGCACAATCCCTAAAAACTGAAATCAAAACAATTAAAACTGGGGGCATCTGGGTGGCTCAGTTGGTTAAGCATCCAACTTCAGCTCAGGTCATGATCTCATGGCTCCTGAGTTTGAGCCCCACTCGAGTCTGACAGCACTCGAGCCTGGAGCCTATTTCAGATTCTGTGTTCCCTCTCTGCCCTCCCCTGCTTTCTTCTCTCTCTCTCAAAAATAAACATTAAAAAGCATTTTTTAACAATTAAAACTGAAAAGAACAAAGTTGGAGAACTCCCACTTCCTAATGTCCAAACCTACTACGATACTCAAGACAGTGTGGTATTGGCTTTAGACTAGACAGTGGAAATCAGTGGAAAAATATTAACATCCAGAAACAAACCCTCACATTCATGGTAAACTAAATTTTGACTAGGATGCTAAAATAATTAAATCATGGGAAGAATCTTCCAACCCCCCCCCCAAAAAAAAATGGTGCCAGGACAAATGGATATCAACATGCAAAAGAATTTGAATTGAATTGAAATTTGAATACCTACCTCATATTATACACAAAAACACAAAAACTAACTCAAAATGGATCAAAGACCTAAAGATAAGAGATAAAACTCTAATATAACAGAGATATATAAACTCTCTAATATGAGATAAAACTCTAACAATACACCTTCTTAGAAGAAATATAAATTTTCATGACCTTGGATTAGGCAACGATCTCTTAGTTATGGCACCAAAAGCACAATCAACAACAACAAAAAATAGATAAGCTGGACATCAACAGAATTAAAAACGTATGTGCTTCAAAAGACACCACTAGGAAAATAAAAAGCCAAGCCATTGATTGGGAAAAAATATTTCCAAATCAAGTCTGATAAGGAACATGTATCGAGAATACAGGCATACCCCATTTTATTATGCTTCATTTTACTGCACTTGGCAAATACTGCATTTTTTACAAATTGAAGGTTTGTGGCATCCTTGTGTTGAGCAAGTCTATTGGTACCATTTTTCCAAAAGCCTTTGCTCGCTTCGGGTCTCTATCACATTTTGGTAATTCTTGCAATATTTCAAATTTTTGCATTATTATATTTGTTATGGTGATCCGTGATCAGTGGTTACAACTCACAGAAAGCTCACAAGATGGTTAGCATATTACAGCAATAAATTATTTTTAATTAAAATATGTATATTGGGTTTTTTTTAGATAACATGCTATTGCACACTTAACAGACTACAGTATAGCGTAAATATAACTTTTATATGCACTGGGAAACCAAAAAATTTATTTGACTTGCTTTACTGCAACATCCACTTTACGGCAGTGGTCTGGAACCAAACCCTCAATATTTCCGAGGTATACCTATATGGAGGAACTCTTACCGTTCAGTATTTATTTAAAATGGCAAAGGATGTGAATAGACATTTCCCCCAAACAAGATCTACAAAGGGCCAATAAGAACATGAAAAATGTTCAATGCCACTATTCATCTGGGAAATACTAATCATAACCACAAAGAGATACTACTTCACATCCACTAGTGAGACAGGAGGGAGGAAGACAAGTTGACCAAAGCAAAGCCATTGTGGTTTTAGGCTGACCCTTAACCTAAAAGTCAGCAGGTAATAAAAAGAGTCACAAGATCTGACTCGTGGGAGACCATAAGACCCTACTCCCTCTGGCAGTAAAAGCCACAAAGGCCAGACATTCCTAAAATTGCTCCCTGTGGGTAATTTCACAACTGTAAGACAATGGAAAAACTAACCACTCAGTGTAAATGATAAACCCAAAGCTAAAGAGTAAGCCCCTTCTTATATAGTCAACTAATTTAAAAACACATAAAACACTTTCTTAGATGCAAAGGCGGGGGGGGGTCCTCTTCCTCACCTGAGAGAAGAGACAGCTATTTTGTCTGTGAAGTAGCTTTCTTACTTCTATGCTTAATAAATTTGTATCTCTTTCTCTAAACAGCCCGCTCCTGAACTCTTTCTCGCCCAAAGCCAAGAGACCCTCATGGCAAGGGGCCTGAGGCCCTCCCTCTTGGAGTCTCAGCCCATCTGGTATGACTAGGATGGCTGTAATCAAAAGACAAACAATAAGTGTCTGTGAGGATGTGGAGTAACCGGAACCCTCACATGCTGCTGGTGGCAACGCAAAACGATGCAGGCACCATGCAACACAGTCTGACTGGTCTTCCGATGATTAAACACAAAGTTACCATATGGTCCAGCAATTCCACCCCGGGCTATACATTTAACAGAAATCAAAACATACATGCACACACCAAAAAAGTGCACACGAATGTTCACAGCAGCATTATTCTTAATCGCCAAGAAGTGGAAACAACCCAAATCAAATGCCCGTCAACTGATGAATAAATAAAATGTAGTATATCTACACAGTGGAAATTATTCAGCCATAAACAGCAGTGAAGTTCAATGAAGTTCTAGCACACAGTACAACCGGATAAACCTTAAAAATATTATGCTAAGTGAAAGAAGCCACACACAAAAGACCACACATTATACGATTTCATTTATAGGAAAAGCCCAAAATAGCCAAAACTATAGAGAGAAAAAGTAGTTTAGTCATTATGGAGGGCTGGGAGGGAGAGAAGGAGTGGGGAATAATTGCTAATAAGCAGGTGGTTTGTTGGGAGGTAATGAAAGCGTTCTAAATTTAGATTGTGAATATATTCTGTAAACACTAAAACCACTGAACTGTACACTTTACAGGAGTGAATTTTATGGTATGCTAATCTCAATAAAGTTGATTTTTAAAAGAGGCATCACCTAGCTGCAATATATGAACCCCTCTGACCTCGAACAAATTCAACTATTTTTAAGGCACTGGTGAGACAACCAGGGAAACAAAGACTTGGGGACATTAAGGAAACATGTTTCGCATTTTTTTTAATGTGTGCCCATGAATTACAGTTATGTTTTTAAAAGAGGTCTTTCTTATCATTCAAGATACATCCTGAAACATTTTCAAACGAAACGATCTGGTAATGGCTTCAAACTCATCTGCGCTGACAGAGTATATATAGACAAAACAAAATCACTGGTGCTGTGTAATAGGTACATAGGGATTCATTATACTAGCCACTCTAGCTGTATCCGTACTTGAAATTCTGCAAAATAAAAAGGTTAAAAGAAAATAAGAACACTCCTAAGAGCTACCATCTGTATTTGTCTAATTATTTGCATACATTGTGAAGAAAGTCACTTAAGCAGCGGGTAAGGTCAGCAAATGGTCAATGTGGGTTTCTGCTTATTTTTTTTTTAAGCCATGTTGTCAACATTAATTTGCTCTATCTACAATATTGTGCTTTCAATAAAGCTTTTACCAACCAATCAGAAATGGTGTCTGAATTTGTACAAGTATATTTCAATTACACACCTTATTTCTCGAGAGAAAATTAGTCTTAGTCCACATTCAGTATGTCAGGTTACAATTATGGAGGGCATACTGTTATTCTTCAAAATTGAACTATAAAAAAAAAGTTTTATGAATTTTTCTTCCAGGCTCTACTATTTCACTGTTTGTTTAGTCTTCAGCCCAGTAAAACATAGGCACACAGGAATTAAACCAATTTGTCTCAGTTTGAATTTTACAGGAGAAATCAATGGGAATACATATTTTGAAGACAACCCAGAAGAACAGACATGTGGACATAAAACTGCTGGCCAATTTTCCTCCTGTATTTTAATTTCTCTCAGAAAATCCCGAGGTAAAAGACTTGAGCCAAAGGAAACAAGCATGAATTTGGACTTCTAAAGCGTACATGACATAAAGAGACTTGTGACGCTAACTCTTTAGAAGGCCATGCTACATCTTGGCTCTAATATGAAGAAGCAATTAAAGGTGTCACCTTGGTGCCACAGTCTATCATTTCAAGAAGTGCCCCAGCTAATAAGGCACAGGTCTAGACCAGGTTCCCCCAAATTCCATTTAACCTCTTCGAAACAGAAATGTAATTTTCTAAATGTCATTGCCAAGTATTTTTCTGCATGGCTTATAGTTGATAAGAAATTCAATCTTAGAGGAAAACAAACTGGAATCACAAAAGGCTGTCACATTCGTTTTGTGTGGACTCTTTCTCAAGATGTGTACTGTTATGTGTGTGAGACAATGATCTGGGACCCAGGTCTTCACCCATCAGACTCCATTACCTGAAATGAAGGAGCTCGGGTCAGGCTGAAGGGATCGGAACTGATTGACATAGTACTCGCGCTGTTCTTCTGTTATCCTCCAGGGTTCATCTGGGTAATTACTGTTGTTATCCTGCGGTTCTCTCTCCACGGAAAAGGACTTTATAAAAAATAAATATGCAAATGCTCAGAGAATTTGTCTTTAGCGAGATGAAGTAGAAATATTAAACGTCAGTAAAAGTTACGCATTATACTTATTTTTTCCTCAAGAGAATAAACACCTTGTAACTAGGACGTAATGAGAACATAAACTTCTGAGGGGCAGACAGCATGCTTTATACGTTTCTTTGTATACCTCAAAGTTGTTAACAGGACTGAGCATGAAATACTGAGTACTTGGTGAGGGACAAAAGTTTTTCCAATGTGATGAAGAGAGAGTAAAAAGGACGATCATTCTTTTCTTTTCAATTTTTTTAATGTTTTATTTATTTTTTGACAGCGAGAGACAGAGTGTGAGTGGGGGAGGGGCAGAGAGAGAGGGAGACACAGGATCTGAAGCAGGCTCCAGGCTCTGAGCTGTCAGCACAGAGCCCGATGTGGGGCTCGAACCCACGAGCTGTGAGATCATGACCTGAGCCGAATGAAGTCTGACGCTTAACCGACGAGCCACCCAGGTGCCCCAAAAGGATGATCATTCTTACCTTCAAATATTCACCACGTTTTTACCGTTTCAGATTAGCTGAGTAGACAGCAAAATAATCTAGATTCCTTTTAAACCATTTTTAAAAATCTACAAAAGCTATAACCACGTCATCTTTTTTCTGAGGCATTCCCGGTGTATAAATCTGGGAATCCAAAGTTCCAATTCCAATGCCACCTCCGCAGGTCCTACTCGAGTGGCAAGTGAGGATCACAGAACCTCTCGTTCTGCATTTGTGAACTGGGAATAATGCTCCGAAACGGATCTAGGTAGAGAACAACCGCTCCTGACCACAGCAAACAGGATGACACAACCAGGGGTGCATCCGACCTGCCACTAGGGGGCATGCAAGGCAAATTTGAGGATTTAAGGATACAGACAACCGGAGAAGTAGTTCAGGAGAACACAAGACTATAAGAGGCAATGAGGAAAGAAGCACAAGTGGTTCCATCCCTCCCATCCACCCTAAGGCTAAGGAGCTACTTGCCAAGGGCCACCTCCATGGAACCAAGAGGTGAACACAAGCAACGTGAGCCTTAAGGACAAAAGCAGACTAGGAAAGAAGAGATATTACTGCTAATAAAGCCGCCTGCTTCTGAACACACTATCAAGAAATTAAACATTAGGAGAGCATTCTACTCACTGTCCCTAGAAAAGACATCCAACCATCTCTGCACCCTTCCTCCCACCCCAACACACACACCCCCCACCCCAGCAAGTAATTCTTCCCAGGGACACCCAGCTCTCCTCTCCTCTGGGGCCTCTCAGAGAGGAAATGAGATTATAAAATGTTGAGCTGTGATATAACCTTGAGATGTCATCTTTAAAGTTTTCATTTAACAGGTGAATTTCCACTAAATGTAAATCAAACCATTTTTAAATGCCCCCCGAAGCCACTGATCATTAGTTAATACCTTAAATTCATAGAATGCTTTCGAATTTACCAAGGACTATACACACCTATCTCATCTGAGCATCTCAAAACCTCTGAAAGGTAGACATAGCAGGTATTATTATCCTTTTGCCAGATGAAGGAATGAAGACTCAAAGAACTCAAGGGATGAGCGCATATCCTTCATTATTTTCCATCAGCATCAATGCATTACTGCAGTCAGCAAGTAACTGCCCTCCACTTTATCTATTGTTCAAAATCAGCCTACTCCGTATCAGGACTTTTCTAAATTGGGCTGCTTCCAAATTGTTTTCAGAAACCCCTAACATCCCGGTAATAATACAAATAAAGCAAGAAAGGCCACAATTCAGTCTAAGCACCCAGTGGACCACACAATTTTCCAAAACACTCCCACCAAATTCAAGTGCTCCACACTAGCACTTTCTGAACATGCCCATATGACCAGGTTCCAGGGGCAAAACCCAAGGTAGAGGGCATTGGCATGCAACGGATTGGGTTCCTGGCCAAATTACAATGTGTAGAGCTCCCGGGAATGCTGCCCTTCTGGGTAGCACTGAAAGAAACAGCTGGAGTAAAGGTATCTATCTAAAAAGCTGGGCACGGACCGGACACAAGAACAGATGTTTACGAGTGAACAATTAAGTGGACAGAGATGGTTCATGAACCCGGCAGGACACGGTTGGAGAGCTCTACCCACTGCCACCCTGCAAAGGAAGGCACAGAAATCTCTGTGCTGGGTGTTGGCCGCTGCATTCCTTGATTCTGACACAGAAGCTACTATTTCCCTACCATACACTCCTTTCCGCCTGGAACTGAAGCTGCCGTATCCAGTTGTTGTTATGTGAGCCCACGTTTGTTCTTTCTCCAATCCCAGGACCACCTGCTCACTCTATTTCCTCTCCCACATTATCTCACTCCTGACTGGCATCAGTAGCCTCTTAGCAGGTGTCAAGTCTACTCTGCCAGCAGGAAGCAGGAACAGACAGGAGAAGTGATGATTCCTCTGCTCAAAAGCATACAGAGATGACTTGTTGCCTAATTTAAAAAATGTACCTCCTCCACGCAGCCTTCAGGGTCCTTACAATTCCTCCTCCTCCTTGCTCACTCTCAGCAGGCATCTGCTCACTCTTCGTAGGTCAGATGTGTACCTTCTTCCCAGCCCATCCTTTCTCTGATCTCAGCCTATTATCCCCAGCCTCTGAGCCTATTACTCAAGTCCCAGTGCCCCCAAGGGCCCGCCAATGTACCTGCCAGGCCCACAGCTACTGCAGACGGCACTGCCCATCCCCCAGCTCTGACACAAAGGCGGGCCTGGCGGTTATGTGTGTACCATGACACCCAGCTCACACCTGCTCTTGCCCAACTGAGTCCAAGGAAGCAGGGGTGGGCACACAGTTTCTGGCCTCTGGGATGCTGTTGCATAGAAAGCTCTACTCTGGCAAGGAAAACTTCAGCCGTATGCTCATTACTGGGGGTGTGGATAAGAAATATGAAGATCAACAAGCACAGAAAGCAGACCCTGAGCAGATACAGAGAGGCCATGAGGCACAGTGACAGCCAGAACCAGCAGAAGCAGAACCCGTGAGGTAGAGAAGTACGAAAAAGAAAAGGAGGGGAGGATGGCGGTTGGTAGCCAAAAGATAAGCGAATAGTGAAGAAAACTCAAGGAGACTAGGGCAAGTCCTGTTAATGGCAAAACAAGCACAAATAACCAAGAACTCCCACTCCTCTGGACCAGTGGGCCACTCCCTGTCTCTCATTTCTTAGATTCGTGAGAATTCCAACCCTCCTCCATTTCAAGAAAACTTAAGCTGGCAAGGAGAGTTCCTGCTCCCTCAAACCAAGAAGGCCTCACAACAAAGAGAGAGGGCATATGAACACTGTATAACCCGTGCAGAACACAGTGTGGCCCTCCTCCTGGCTTGCACTAAATGTGTTCACCTACCCCCATTCTCTTTCCCCTTGCTTCCCACTGCATGGTTTTAACTGATTTAATAAACCAAGTAATTAGCCATCTTTAAAAATATGAATTCTTGTAAGTGCCACACAGTGTGAACATTTCAAGTGCTCTTGAATATCATCACTCGGGTTTCAACCTGGAGGACCACAACCGTATCATGTACTCCTTTATTCTATGTACAGTCATTAGCAGGTACATCACAGATACCAAAGAGCAGTGTGAGATCCACTGACTGATGCACTCTAGTAAGTTCAGGTGTATGTCTTATATTAAAAGAGGTGCAGAAATACTACTCTGTGCTGTGCTTAATGAAAGAAAACCTAGGAGTCTATTTCATACTTAAAGTTTCAGATCTATCAAAAGAAGTCCATGTCTATCTTCCTGTAGTTCGTCCATGGTCTCTGATCTCTACGGGGAGTTCTCACGTTCCATATCCATTAAGTGAGTGTTTCAGGGACAGATGAAGGTATATGGAAGGGGTAGATGACATTCCACATATTCTTAGGCTGAAACAGTCTAAAAGAAAGCTGATCTACAAGAAGCAAAATGATTTGAACTGTGCTGCAGGAGGTGATCTACTCATTCATTCATTCAACAGATACCTGCTGATCATTAAGTATATTTCAGACACTAGAGATTCTGGCTACCCTGTTGGGCCAACAGATTCTTTTTTTTCAAGGAAGGCTAGAGTTTAACCAGGGAGAAAGACAAACAGGCAATCTCAAAAACAGTGAAGGGTAGTCTAGAACTTTTCTACTCAAAGTACAGTCTCCAGACCACCCACATCAACATCACCTGAGGACTTACTAGAAACAGAGAACCTTGGGCTCTACCCTACATCTGGTGAATCATAAAGTTCCAGAGTAGGACCCAGGAATCTGTGGTGTAACAAGCCCTCTAGATGATATGAAGCACACTCAAGTTTGAGAAGCCAGGCCATAGAACAAGCAGGGCAAGACAAACAAAAGGAATAGCATTTGTCAAAACTCCAAAAAATGAGAGAAGATGGCCATCTTCTGAAATTAGCTCAGTGGGCTACATGTAGAGAGAAAAGATTGCTGGTACAAAGCGGATGTTAGTGGAGTTGCCTCAAGGTGCTCCAGACAGCAAGCAAGGCCCAGATCATGAAGGCCCAGGTTGAGAGGTACAGACTGTATCTAGAAGGCAATAGGAAGCCACAGATAAGTATTAAACAGGACAATGAAATAATCAGATGTCAGTTACAGAAAGACCACTTCAGTGAGAAGAATGGAAGGGGAAACACTAAAGGCAGGAAGACAAGTTAAGGCCACATGAGCAACCCTGGCCAGAGGTCAAGATGGGCCAGAGTTAGGGAGAGGATGAGAGGAGTCAGGGAGGAAAAAGCCATACGGCCATGACCAGAGGAAGGCCCACTCCATCAGTGAGATGGCAGCTAAGGACCCCTCTGTCAGCGGCTCGAGGGCCATCTTGCTGCAGGACCCAGATATCTGCACGCAACATCTCCAAACGAACCCACAAGTCAAGTGAAACAGTGGGCACAACTTGACAAAGGTCTGAGAAGTCAGCCACCTAAGAGAGAATGTCGAACTGCAAAGGCTGGAAGAA